CAATATACAATTTTTAATGGAACAACCGGACTTTTCAATGCTTTTTTAATTAAGCTTTGTTCTTTATAATATTAACCGTCTTTGAGTAGCATTCCAAACTCAAAAAGATAATGCGAAAAAAAAGAAATTGTCGTCTTCCATTATATTTAGACAATCAATTACAGAGTAACAAGAATTCAGATGATCCAAGATTACACGAAATGGCGATTGCATATTGGGCTATTTATTATATATTTCAAACAGACTTAAATTAGGACTATGTCGATCATTGATGTAATACATGTACTCTAACCTTATCCATACTTATCTTCTTAGAAGAAGTGTGTAATGCATCACTAGAATTTCAGTATAGCATCAATGTTGATTATATTTAATTTATTTTTACGTTACTGCATTGGTACAATACCAGTTTTGTACGCTTTAGGTAGACTAGAGTAAACATGCTGTCAGAAATCAATTTAAAGTAAATGGATGCTTTCTGTTTCATGATAGCGAGATATTGTGTCTGATCTTCTAAAACATACTTTCATGCACAAACGAAACAGATATTAACAACTTACCGACATTGTAAAAATAATATATCCCTTCATTTAGAAAATTAATATATGAAAAGGTCGGGATTGATAGGAAGTCGATACAGACGAAGGTTTCTGATTTAGTTTCACGAGCCAACATTATACATCACATGTATTGTACATGTGTATAGCTATGTTAGATAAGCTGATAATGGCTTGCAAGCACTGCTTGACACGGTAACAATATTTCATTTTGCTCAAATGCCAAAAAAAACAAAACAAATTGTTTAACTTAGATAACACTATAAAAATAAAAATACCAGTGGTATGTATTACAAATTCGACATAGCTGACACTGTATGCAATAAAAAACTTACAAAATATCATGAATAACAATAAAAGTAGCATCATTTTTCATTCCAGTCAAAATGTAACATTTAGGTGTAGATTATAGCCGAGCACCTCGATCAATGTTTCTTTCAAAATCAAAGTGTTTTACTTTAGGATTCTTTGCAGCGAAACTTGTGAAATCCAGATGTGCAATAGAAATGTTTGTTTGAAGAAACAGCAAGTTTTCAGATATACTTAAATAATAAGTAATGTTCCGATAATCATTCGTCAATACGGTAAACATTGTTTTCTAGTTTAAGAAGCCTTCTATATCAAACGAAAATTAAACAAAATCATGTATTTTATACTTTAATTGAGTTTTAAATACAGGTGCATCCTAAATATTTTGGTTTGTTTCGAAAATGCAGAAATAAATGTATGCAACATCCTTTATCAACTCGAAATTGAATTTTGAGTTCGAAAATAGTCCAATAAAATGTATGTTATTATATCATCAAAAGCACATTAATAAACATATAATAAAATGATAACCAAGGTCATTGGATGTAAATGTTTTTTTTAAAGTAAGCTGATTGCGATTTAATTTATTTTCAGGTATGCAATTTACTTTTTTAGTTTTAATGAAAATTAAAGCATACAATTATGTAGACCCGTGATTTTTTGTAGAAAATAATTACAAACAAATCGCTATGCACCATCTATAAAAACAAAACAGAAAAAGAAACATTACAGAATTTGATTATTGATTATGAATTAGCTAAGAAAAACGGATTATTAAAAATTCTCGGTATCATTAAATTTTGTCACATTTGTGCAAAAAGGTATGCATAATATCATATTTAGTGTCACGGTATATATTTTTAAATATTACATACCAACTTAGTGTGACATTATGAAGTATTATTACAAATCACACTTAGTGTGACTATATACATTATCAAATATTACATATACATAGTGTGACTGCAAACATTGTGAAATATTAATTCATATCACACTCAGTGTCAGTGTGCATTGTTTAATATTGCATATCACACTTAGTTTGATTTTACATTATCAAATATTACATATCGCGCTTAGTTTGATTACATATCACACTTAGTGTGACTGTATATTGCCAAATATAACATATCACACTTAGTGTGACTGTATATTGCCAAATATAATATATCAAACTTAGTGTGACTGAATGTTGCCAAATATTACATATCACACTTAGTGTGATTGTATACATTGTGAAATATTATCTCATATCACACTTAGTGTCAGTGTGCATTGTTTAATATTGCATATCACACTCAGTTTGACTGTACATTATCAAATATTACATATCGCGCTTAGTTTGATTACATATCACACTTAGTGTGACTGTATATTGCCAAATATAACATATCACACTTAGTGTGACTGTATATTACCAAATATAACATATCAAACTTAGTGTGACTGTATATTACCAAATATTACATATCACACCTAATATTACTGTATATTGCCACATATAACAACACACTTAGTGGGTCTCTATATTGTCAAATATTGAATTTAAAAGATATAAACAATTACTCATTGCTATCGCATAGAAATCCAGATGTGAGACAGAAATGTTTATTTTTCAGTTGCAACATGTTCTCAAACATATTTAAAAAATGAGTAATGTTGAAATACTCCCGTACACCAAATGTCACAGTTAATATATCTCCGTGTGAGAGCATGTCAGTTTAAATAATTACAACTGCTGAAATACATCCATTACACAAAATATCACAGAGTTCATCTTTGTGTGAGTGTATGTGTGTTTGAGTCATCTGGCATTCATATTTGTTATAATATGCTCTTATAAATGTGAATACGGTATATGTTTAATCATTCTGTTCTCGTGTCAAATAGTTAAGTCATTTATCTCCTCCTTCCATCTTCACGTGTATGTACAAAATATCGATCAGAAAATTTCTCTTTCTATTGCTTTGTTGGGCTGGGGGTAACACTGTGTTAAATATACAGTAACAGGTTAATCTAAAGGACGCTTTTGTGGGTAGAGCTATATTTTTTTTTCTTCTCTTAACTGAAGATTTATCAAACTGACGTTTCATATTGCTTAGATTTCGATTTGCATTGATGAATTAATTAATTATAATAATGTAGCAAATATAAGGAATAACTTTAGATTGTTTGAATAAATTAAAGATATCAGTATTTAATGGTTACTGCAAAAATTTGTGTTTCATATATTTATTAGCATAAATTTCAAAACAAATTTATAATATTTACACCAACTGGTAAATTAAATGCATCAAGCTATTTGATTTCTTATTAATATAATTTGATTTATTTTTACAGATTTAAATGTGATTTTGTTACGCTACTGTTTCTAATGAATTTTAGCAGACAGCTAGTGTTTGATTTTTGTGCATTCGCTGCGTTTATGTTTTCACTCTTTCTTGGTTATGTTTTCCTTCTTCCTTGTTATGGTCTAGACCGGTTGTGTTTGTTATCGCCAATTTATCTCCCCATAGGTAGGTAGGTCAAAGGAGCAGGCAGTTCCTCGGGTGAATAAAGAACCTCCACTTGTGATCATACCCGGCTGAGACATGTTCTAACGCCATTCAACACCTGATAATTTCGTGACGCGACCGGATGTCTTTTTGTTGCGAATTAATCCTTGGGAGATTGTTGAAAATGAATATAAAATACCATTCTTATCAGCACATTGTAACTCAATAAATTGCTTCTAGCAGTACATTTGACTACATTTGAACGGCTAACGTAAATATTGGCCTGTTTCATCCAAAAGCGCAATCTGGAATTCATTCCTGTAATAAATTTCATATGATCTTCTAAATTTTAAAAAAGAATATTAACTCTGAAAGTATTATCTTATTCTCTAATAATGAAAAGCAAAGTTCCGAAATCGACCAATACGGCTAGAAAGGTTGGGCAGAATATGCTATATAAGAGCTCTGATTTGTCAACCCCGTGAAACTTTGTCAAATGTATCTACTTGTATCTAAAAGGTAAAAAACAAAATTTTCTAAATTGCAAAAATTTGTCATGCCTTGACAACTTGTGAATACAAAGGTAAATCTATGTCATTTTATAAATGACCAAAGGTTTTTTTTATTCCGAAATATCTACTTTGAGTGCTAGCTTGAAAACGTTCAAACGAATAGTTTGTTTTAATGAAAACACCTTTCTCAAAGTGATAATTTGAAAATGGTTAAATCATTATAAAATAACCGTCTGCATGACTTTTTTGCAAGTGCGAGCAAATTAACTTGCTGCAATTGAAGTCGCAAGTTATCGGATATACGTACTTTTATCAATAACAGACATGATGTAAAGAATGAGCAAATATTGTTCCAAGTACGATACCATTATAGTACCTATGATCGTTAAAAAGCAAGGTTGTCACGTGATATGAATGGAGTATGGTGATGCGTGTCAATTATGTCAGATTACGTATATTTTTTGAAGAATTAGATGACAGTTTGTGATAGGTGATTGCTTCTATTTATAGAAAAACTTGTCCATTTTACTTAGTCGACGTCATTACAGAATTCTGACTAAAAATTGGATATTGCATGGATTTTGTATTACTTGTGTAAAGAATCATTTTGCGCCTGTGTTAATGAAAATTCGTATAATATCTATTTGTTTTAATTAATATGAATCTTAAAAAATGAATTTTGATAAAAAAATAAGTTTAAATTGAAGTATATAAAAATATCGAAGCAATATTAAGATTGCAGACACGTAAATACCAGCGACATGTACCAGTAATATGTCAAGAGAGCTTGTTCAGTGTGTGTGTGTGTGTGTGTGTGGTATGTGTGTGTGTGTGTGTGTGTGTGTGACTTTTAACGACGTTTTAACAATTTTTCAGTCATGTTTGCAATGTGGCACTTCATAGTTATGTCCCGTACTAGGCCTCATGTCCCACCCAGTCACATTACACTGACACCAAGCCAACCATTCCTAACACTGACCTGTTAATGCTGACGCTAAGCCGACCAGTCCAAACACAACACTGACCTGTTAATGATGACGCCAAACCGACCAGTCCTAAGACTGACCTGTTAATGCTGACGCCAAGCGAGGCAGCTGCTTGTGCCATTTTTAGAAGTCTTTGGCAAATGCTCGGCCGGGGTTAGAACGCGCGACCTCCCGTATCCCAGGCGGATACTCTAACAACTAAGCTACAGGAGCGGTCAGAGTTTGTTCTTTTTGTTAGGCCTATATGTTGATTATCTGACTAGCTACAAACTTGAAAATTTGTGATTTGAGATTTTCTCTTTAATATTATCTGTGTGTTATAATGTGCTGTTGTTGGGAAGTCTAAATAGGAAACAAGTAAGAGCATTTTTAAATGATTAGGAACGAAAATTTACAACAGTCAAAATTAAAAGATATTAATAGGATGAAGCAACAGGGTCGCTGCTGTTAAATGGTCTCAAGAACAAAATCAATACGGTTGAAACGAAAATAAAATAGACATTGGGACAGAATAGTTGCGGTTAAAAGAAAAAATAAGGAGATATGGACAGAATCAATGAGGTAATACGGAAAAAAAACATTGAGAAAAAATAGAGAAACGGACAGAATGGATGCGGTTAAAACAGAAAAAAATATTTAGATACAGAATCGATGCAGCTAAAATGCAAAAATATAGATAAAAAAAGAATCGATAAGGTTAAAACAAACAAAAAATAGACATAGGGACACTCCTAAGTTGAACGTGGAAATGTGCATCACGTTCCATGCATTATGAGCCAATGGGTTGATTAAAACTGGAAGTCGGTAATAATAAAAAATAAGACCTAGATACATATTGCTTAATAATGTTAGTATTTTACGTAGTCGAAATTATCCTTATGATAGTGATGGTGTTTTAAATTTGAATTTATGTATTACAGTTAACATAGCTAAATAAACAACTGTTCTTCAATTCAGAGATCTGAAAGGGTTGTTTTACATTTTAGTTTTTCAATTATAATGCAGATATTAGTAAACAATTATGGATTCATCCACACTCCACTACCTTATTAATTGTTCAATACTCCCCTTTCTCTTTGCGTTGCTTTCCTCCTGCATTCATTAATTTTAATTTGCTGCCACAAAGAATAACTTTGGTTTGCTTTGATTACATGTTTAACGTTTCTGATCAATCTTTAAAAAAAACCAGCATAAAATCTCTCTCTCTCTCTCTCTCTCTCTCTCTCTCTCTCTCTCTCTCTCTCTCTCTCTCTCTCTCTCTCTCTCTCTCTCTCTCATTAATTATCAGTGAATATAATTGAAGTCCCAATAAATAAGTTGTTTGATAGCTAACCGCGCTATGCCGTACCACAACCAAGCAATCTAAAACGAATCACAACAACACAAAATCAAATGTTCTATATCGGTTTACGGAATGTATACATTACTCTGTAGGTCAATGGAAGAATACACATGCAGTCAAACTTTTATCCAAACCTCTTTAATAGGTCATATAGTGAGATGATAGTTAGGGTACTTGGTACACTTATTTGTACATTAATTTTATTATATCATTAGTCTCACTCATGACGGACACACATATACCTCCGTCTAGGTTATAACAGTTGAACCTTCTGCAAACAGGAGATAACCATGCCCCTCCCCTCGATACCCGTGACCGTTTCCAAGTGACAATCTACGCACTCAGACATCCATTTACGGCAGACGCAGAGATTAAGGAGATTATCGCTATATCTTAGTATATTGTGAGTTTTACCAATCGATATAACACATATTTTGTACCGATATTTTCACATTTCGGTTGAGAAAGGTATTTAACTTCTTGATATTTTTTTCAAGCAACTTTCCAATGGAAAACCTATTATAGGCTGAGATGAACATCTTCTACGATATATGTACTTTGTAAAACTTTTATAGAGTATGTAATTAGCAAAATCTATGATATAAGAAAACTGCATAATGTTTGATAGTTTAATGATAGTTTGATAGTTTAATGATACAGGTTTAATTATACTGGTTAATGATCGAACGCTAATTATAATAATGAGAATGTTTGTAAACTAATTACTTAACAAAATATTTGACAGAAAAACTCAGCTGGCCTTAGCAAGACAGACATACACACAGAGGTATATATATATATATATATATATATATATATATATATATATATATATATATATATATATATATATATATATATATATATACATAAAGTACAAAATACTATTTAGTATATACTTCTAATACTCCAAGATACACACCAGAATGTCTATAATATAGACACTAGTATTGTAAACATTGCTCCTCGAACACGAACTTATGCTGCAGCTACACTGTACCGACCGAATAATAAAGGTATACAAATTATAGTTTGCAGTCCTTTCATTTCTCGTCTATATGTGCATGAACGCTTGTGTTTATGTGTTTATCGTTTCTATGTATTTTTTTTTTCTTTTTAAAATATTTATATTTTTCATTACAGAAGATTGAAAGTCTGGGTTTTCCTAACATATATTTCAGTTTTTAAATTATTAAAGAATATATAGATATGAGTAAATAAAATACATTTCGGGATAAAAAAAAAATTTTTTTTGTCATATCTCTATTATTATCAGTACACTCCTTGGTGTCCTAAGTAACGGCATCTAATGACAGTAGTTCCCACCATGAATATCCATATATTGAAAGAACAAAGAACATAATTTATGTTCTCGAGTATTTTTGGAGAGCAAAATCTGACTTACGTTATCCAAAATCAAATCTGAAGACAATTTTCTACATTATCTTATCAGGACTGTAAGTATGTTCTATATACTAGATGACAGAAAATAGCATTGACTCCAAGTAGCCCAAGCTGATTATACCAATTCATGCTTTGAGCTGTTGTTCGTTCTGGTATGCAAATTCCAGAGACTAAATAACATCTTCTGAGATTTTCAACTACTAAAGGTGAAATTAGAGGCAGTATGCTGACTAGTGTTATGTTGAAGTAGGCCATGTTTAGGGCACCTTTTCTACTCCCTTCATCATGATACGAAGGGAGTTGTGTGATCCTAAAAAGAGGTGGGGCTAACAAGTGCAACGCTTCCTCTGTCCAGTGAAAAATGACCACATGCTCTGAACTGCCTGTACAGGTCTGCAGCAACAGTTCCAAGTGAATAAACACCAGTTGCTTTGTCAATGGATACAGAATCTGCAACTCACCTATGGACACAGCCCTTAGAGTGGGGGATATATGTGGGTGGGAGTAGATAGTGTCATAACTTAATGTTTTTTGAGTTGATTTAAATGAGCTAAAGTTGCGCAGTATTCACCACTCAAAGACAGTTATGTATCTCTCTGGCAAGGTAAAACATTTATATTGTTTTGTTATAACAACAGCAACAACAACAACAACAACAACAACAACAATAATAATAATAATAATAATAATAATAATAATAATAATAATAATAATAATAATAATAATAATAATAATAATAATGTAATAAAATTAAGGAGATGCGCATTTAGTTAAAGCAATTTGAAGGATTGTGTGATTACATGTTTGATTATTGGAATTCGGTGCAGTGTGAAATATTCCTTAGCACGAAATAATTAGTCAATTATTAGGAGCGAACGTCACGGAGAGAAAGTGTTAGTGAGTTTCTTAGATGCCATGGCCAATGAGTAGCGAACTCAGATCCAATCCGTATGACTGTCCCTGTCGTGATGCAGCACTTTATAAAAACTAATGGTGTATTTCGGTGTTGTGACTGCAGCGGCAGTATTTATGGTAGTAAACCGGTAAATTACACAATGGGATAAATGAGAAAGGACTCGGTAGATACCGTTTATATTGCTATAGCGGCAAATGTGATGTAGGTTTACTGGTGCCAGGTGCATGGAAACGGTAGTTCGACTGGCCTCAGGTAGGCAGTTAAAATAATCCCCCGTGTTAGGGATTGTTGTACAGTTTCTACGGTGTGAATTACAAGCGGAAGGGAAAGTTAATATAGATAAACTGTGGGGATGTGCAGTTGATGGCTAAATTGCAAGTTGTAAATAATGAGGTCTTGTATAGATTATTGTAAAATTTAAGAATAGAATGGACACGTCAGTCTTTCCAACTTATAACTGAAGTTGTATAGAAGTCTTTGGAAATATGTGGTAAACTTAAGACTTCTTGCGGGATTCGAGCTCAGGGTTTTGACACCGTTCTGTCAAGCAAAAGACCAACAACAACAACAACAATAATAATAATAATAATAATAATAATAATAATAATAATAATAATAATAATAATAATGATGATGGTGATGATGATGATCAAAATAATAATAATAATAATAATAATAATAATAATAATAATAATAATAATAATAATAATAATAATAATAATAATAATAATAGGAATGTAGGATGTGTCTGCATTCTTTTCCATTCTTGTTACTCAGCATGATATTATGCTGGATAATTTTTAATTAGTCCTATTTGTATGAAAAATATTTCAAATTAAAGTAACATCGGCAAGTTACAGCACCCAATATCTTGTCTATTCGAGTTCGAATCTAAATAGATGATCTCTGCATATAATCTCTGGCCTGGATGATAATACTATTTCTCCACATTCATATTATTACACATTCACCAGTTTCATCTGGGACTAGCAATTGTCAACTCTGTCAGGTGTATATTTGAAACTGTTTATAGTAAGCTCTCTATATGCATTGATTTATGTCAGACGAATCTGTAATGACTGTGTACGTAGATGACAGCTGATTGCTACGTCACCAAGTTAGTAAGTCCATACGCGTGATTGCCAGCACCCACTAGCATGTTTATCCTATGTAGGTAACCTACGCGGGGTGGAGAAGTTGCATACAGACAACCGACAATCGTTGTCACACAGTAGAAAACGATTTGGAATTTTTACAGCCTAGATGGTAACATTCTTAATAATTTATAGTAACATTCTTAATAATTGTATACTGCATATCACGAAGTATAAAAGGCACTCTTAGATATGGACAAACTATAGACAGAGGGACATAACTCTATTTTGTTATAACGTCTATCAACGTCTCCATTCAAAATTTGACATTTGTGTCCTACGATGAAATTTTATTTTATGATATGAGGAATGTATGCTCTCATTACAGATATCCATAGCAAATCAATGGTAAAAACAAAAACAGTGAAACAAAATATGGTTTGGTCACAGTGAACTA